ATGTGGGCTCGTGTCTCAAGCGACGAATAGAAGAGAAAAAAGGAGCAGCGTCGATTTTTCTCTTTTCTGTCCGTGTGGAACGGTGCGCGATAAGTGAACGGTGACTCAGTCGCAGCATAGATGTTCTTTGTCGGAATGCGCTGGGTGACTTAATGTATGCCCTATTCTCAGTTTAATTTGTTCCTGGCTAAGGGTCTTTTGTACTTTTTAGCGCTGGAAGCAGTGGCGAGAGGGAACAAAGACCAGCTGGGAAGTATTTCAGAAAAGTCAGACTGATCACTTTAATTCGCGCATCAGACAGTTGATCACTACTCGGTTTACGATTCACGACGAGCTCATCAAGTGTCATCAACTACTCAGACTTAAACTTAGTGCACGTTTGCCAAAGACATGTGAAGAAAGGTAGCAGATCATGACGAACGAAGACGAACAGAAACGTGAATTTTCTGAAGACTTTCAAACAATTATGGCCGTGGCTAAAGAAGTACAACCCAGAGTGAACGTTGAGACTGAGGTAAGCCGCGTTTACGAAAATCACGGCTTCGCAAGAGAATTCGATTTCAAAGCGAAGTACTCGGAAAGGAAAGCGGCACGTTTTTCTCATGAATTATCAAAGCCATCCTACGCTGGTATTAATAGGTTCTTCTGCAGGTCCAAAGAGGATCAGTTTTGGAACGAATTGCATGCTGATGTATCCGGAGTTCTTGAACAAGTGCGAGTGTACTCGTCTCACATCCCACAACAGGCAATCACGCAGACCGAAGATTATTTAAGACAGTATAAACATCATAAAACGGATTCAATGCGTACACGGGCTCATCAACACGTATATGCCATGCTCGTCGAACATTTGACTCCTAAGCAGAAAAAATGGGAAACGAACAATAATATTCCAGCTCAATTAAGTATCGCTCGTAATAACCTCTAGAATTTCTATCAGAATACTCTGCGTGGTCTAAACGAGATGCAGTTGTTGACCTTTGACCTCAAAGTCGTTTTCTCCAAGCACTACGAGCTCGGGTTCTTGCATTCGGTTCAGAGATCTGTTATAAACAATATACACAATGAAAGTTGGATTACGGACAGCCGTCTTTTGCTTGCTCGTGCTGATCTCGAGCTGCTCGATCTCATTGAAGCACACAAAATTCAAGAGGCTATACGTCGAGTTAAAGAATCAGCGGACCATTATAAGGAGATCGTAAACGCGTGCATTTTAGCTGTCATTCAAAAGATTATCGTTACTCACTGGATCAATTATCGTTTACTATTTACCGAAATCGTTGACACATGCATTGGTATGGCAAAGGCTTACCGCAATCCTTTATGCAGTGAAACCGAGGTAGATCTAATTCGTGTGGGCGAGGGTCGCACCTCCTGTTTCTTACAGAAGCTGTCCCTTAGTTTGATCGGAAAGCATTTGCATAGTGATTTCGGTCATGCTATCAGCGCTCTGAACGCAGCGACGACAGTCTGCGATAGTCAGTCGACAAACGAATGGGATTCATTGAGAGGAGAATTACTGAACTTCCTTTCTCAGCCAGAACGTGATGAGGTCATCAACTCGCCAGAAACACTGAATAAAATATACCAAAACCTTCTTCGAAGTCTCGTTGACGAAAGGAGAAACAATGCTATTCGTCTTCGGTGTGACGAACCATGTCCCTTATGTAACTTTCCCTGCAAACGTGAACGTGGACATACTGTGGATGCAGTCGCAGAAGGCCGTTTACATGACTGTGATCATCTGTATTGGTCGGAGGATACCAGAACTGAACTGAAAGGTCAATTGACCTACCAGTCATGCTCAAATCACGTGCGAGAAAACAATCATTTCAAGTTCAGAGATTCGTATGTGCCATTTACTAAATTTAGCAAGTGCTATCCCAGTTGGTTGCAACCGTCTCCGCTAACAGAAAATGGCCATGAAATTCGACAATACATTTTCTCTCAGTATCAGCAAGAGCTCGCACTGCACTACTCTCGGCTTCCGTGTGCTGACATTCCCTCGAACTTCTACCATGAACTTCGAATTCTGCGCAAAAAGACCGAGTCTACGCTAAAGAAATACATGTGTGTGCCGTAGGTAAACACACTGGCGTAGTAAATCTGCAACTTCGCAGTCATTTTCTTACCGTTTCTTAAAAGTAAGGGTTTTGTCCGTGTTCTGTCCCTTTTAACTCTTTTCAACGTTATGAGTGGAGACTTAGTTCATGCATTTGCAATCCATGCTGTGACAGGTTTTGTGTCGAAGAAAAGGGAAGTGTTTAACCTAAAAGCTTTTTTCTGGTCTTTTCCTAAAAGGTACTTTTTAGTGACGATCAGCCGTGTAACCTTTACTACTTTTAGTCGTCATCCGAATGTCGTCACTCAACGGTTTTCAGTCTTCTCACTAGAGGAGAAGGGTGGATAAGATCCTTTCCTGACCCAATATGCCGAGTTTTACTGATGATTTATTCTTAGTTTCACTGGATGTTCCAAACTATGTATGTTGCAGAGATTGTATTTTAATACAGAAAAAGCGTTGAACATAAGTTTAAAGCGTAGGCTCGGTATCAAAAAGCGCAACGCAAGCGATACCACCGTCGAATACATTCCATAATTCTCGTAAAGGTTCCTAGCATGCTACAGAAATTATAGTACTTTCGAGCGGAATTTGGCGCCCAAAGTGTTGGATGATACTTTGCGCACCAGATGCCGAAAATGGCGTCAAACGCCTCATTTTCTTTTGAACTGTTACAATTGCTCAATATTTCGACGTTTTACTACAAAAAACTCTAACTAAACTCAAAACTGACACAGACATGCAATCTGCGCAAATACCGAATAAGTGAAAAAGGACGAGGGCGGATAAGACCCTTTCCTGGCCCCACTTGAATTCGGGTTTTTTGCACTTGAACCACGTTAAATTATGACAAAGACAAAATTCAAATCATCAGCGAGTCCCCCGAAACACTCTAATCACTACTTCTTCCCTATTTTTTTCTATATAGTATGTTTTAGATATAAATTTAAACAAAACTGTAATTAAACAAACAACTGTGTAAAAAAAATAGAAAAATAATACTTTTTGACTTAAATGTTTCTGTTCTTTTCGTTATCTCTAAACCCTTCTGTTTTAAGTCTTAAAATTTCTCTTTTCTTCACCTCGAATTCTCTTCTTTCACATGACGTTCTCTTCCAATGTATTTGTTTGTCGTCATTTTTTTCTTTTACATTTGTGTTTATAAAGATTTGAAGAAATTAGTTTTGCAACACAAGATATATACATAGGAAAGAGAGCAAACTGTCACTTTAAATGTATACATCTGGGGAAAGTGGAATACGCACTTGACGACGTGCCATTTTTAGTTCATGTTTTCTAAGAAAGGTCATTATAAGTTGAAATTGATTGGATTGACTCTTTCTTATATTTAAAAAAATTACCTTGTTTTGACCATGGTGTTGTCCACAATCGAGAAGTTTTTAAGTTCGTTTAAATACACCGATAAGATATATACACATTTATAATTTACTAAATTGTTTATCTGTTTTAACTGATACTGGATCGAAAAAAGAATAGTCACCCAAGTCCACTGTCTTATCGCATGTCGCGGCGCGGGTCTCTTTAAAAATTCGCGGAAGGATCGTAACGCGTTCGCTGTAAGACTCGCGAAATAAGACGCGATTTTTAGCGATGGCTGTTTTTTCGCCCTCATACAAAAATCAATGACTCTCAAGTATTTTACTATAGTTACTATTTATTCGCGTTTTCCGTCTAATATCAGTAAATCACGCTACTTTTACCGCGAACGCAGACGAATGGCGTACGCACCACGCGACTGCGCAAGACTATATTAGTCATGTCGTAAGCTATTATTAAGATGTGATAACATTTTGAAAATTTTTTCGAAAAATCAGTAAGAGTTATATACCAAGCGCATAAGCAAAAGAAAACGGTAAATAGGATTTTTGCAAGGGAGACGCGCCACAACCCTGTTAGCGATCGCGTCGCGACTTCGCGATCCGAGCGGGATCACTGTAAGAAAGAATGGTAGCGCCGCGATCGCTAATTACCAGTTTTTCTTAGCGAGCGCGACGTGGGTTGCGTGATTTTAGTGCGATCCGCGTTCGCGCCGCGAATCAAGCAAGAAAGTGGACTTGGGCATGCATGAATTACTCGTCCAGTATTACCGTTTGGTTCAATCCACTATCAATTAAGAAAACGCAAACAGTTTAGTAAATTATAAATGTGTATATATCTTATTCCTGTGTCTTGGTTGAAAACAAAGTAATTTTTTAAACAAAAGAAAGGAGAGTAATCCAATCAATTTCAACTACTAGTTTAGTGATAAAATTTTAAGTGTTACTGTGTCCATAAAAAAGGGGATTCCGAAAGTTGCGCACGAGAAACTTGCACACAGTGAATATTGCGCACGGGTGGGTTGCGCACGCAATAACAAATTCTCATTTTATATTTATATTTACAAAATCCTAAGACTTTTAATTGCCATTATCGTTTATACACAAGTAAATAGTCAAACACACATCACCATAATTAATCGAAATGGTATTCATACAACCAGTTGTAATAGTGATCCAAGTTCAATTTTTCGGAAAAAATATTTCTGAAACTACGTGTTCTCTGGTGCTTTGGTCGTCTAGTCCTCCGGTCCTGTAGTCCCCACCCAACGGCTGGTACTCTGGTCGTCTGCAAGCTAATTTGCATAAAGACAATCTGGTGACTCACTTTCACGTGTGGTGGTCCGATCGGCTGGTCGACTGTCACCAGATTGTGGTTTTTGCAAGTTAACTTGGAGACAATCAGAGCACCAGAGGGCCAGACAGACACAGAATCTCACAAATATTTTTGCGTGGTATAAAATAAGATAACAATAACTATAAAATGAATAACCCCTGTATATATATATGAAAACAAAAAGAACACAGCGGATGAATATAACATATACCTATAGATAGTATATGTACAAAAGTGAATAAGTGACGAATGAATAAATGAGATGCCCAGAAAAAGGAATGAAACATGACTGTGAACATGGTTATGGTTAGCGGTGGCAGAGTAGTCCGCAAACATAGTACAACGAAATTAAGTTGATATGACATTTGTTGAATCAGACTCTTTACACCGAAAATTTGCTTTATTTCAAGGATACGGCCAAAAAAAGCTAGTATTCACGCTTCCTCATGAGGAAACTTATATTAAATCAAGGTTACACTAAAGAATTGTGATCTGCGCAGACATACTGCGCTCACTTTTAGGCCCTACTTCTAAAATAAAAGACACCAGGTTTTAAAACGATGTAAATTTTATATGAGACGCCTAGGCTACTCGGCTCCTCACAAAATTAAACAGAAGACGTGCCGAATAATTAAGCTTCTGTGTTGTTTGAAAATACTCCGCGCCCAACAGAATCGGCATAATGAGATACAACCAAACATCATCAAAACAAAGAGTAAAACCATCTTTGCACATCAGTTAGTTTATAGTCAAATGGTTGTGGAAACATCCATTTTTACTTCACTATTTGCCAAGGCGTCTAACAAACGTTGTTCTTAACGTATTTCTTTTCATTAAAAATCACACGGTCTGATTTGATTGAAGGCTGTTATTTCAAGATATATAAAAAAACAAGAACAAAGACATTTTCTAGTTTTCCAATAGAATCGCAAATTAAGAGAGCAGAAAAACAAAAATTCGAATAAAAAATAAAACATTCTAGTTAGAATGTATGGCGCATGGCGTTACAGTGCCTGAACAGTTAATGCAGTGTAATGCCATAAATTTATAACGTTAAACACCATTGGGGCCGTCCAAAAGGCATCAAATCAATTTCCAGAGAGCACCTTTCGATTGGGGTAATTATGGTCAGTCAACGTGTACCGTTGGGGTAATTATGGTCAATCAACGTGTACCGTTGCGGTAATTATGGT